TGCCCTTTCCGCGCTGAAAATGCCGGGGGGGGGGGGGGTTCCTAATTGGCTTCCGAAGCGGGAAGAATTGGTAGGGGGCGGGGTCAGGGTTATTGACAGCCAATCTGGCACATCATTTTGGGATGGTTGGGGCTCATTCTGCTGGCAGGGAGGGTCTCTGACACACCCCAGTCACTCATTGGCAATGTACGTGTGTGTGTGTGTGTGTGTGTGTGTGTGTGTGTGTGTGTGTGTGTGTGTGTGTGTGTGTGTGTGCGCGTTTCTATCTCGTGTGTGTGTGCGCTTCTACATCTTGTGAATACGTGTGTGCCGATGTCTGAGCATTATGCGCTGTGAATGAAACCTTTGTACGTCACCCTCTCACATTACACTGTCCTAAGTGTGTGTGTGTGTGTGTGTGTGTGTGTGTGTGTGTCTGTCTGTCTGTCTGTCTGTCTGTCTGTCTGTCTGTCTGTCTGTGGAGGGGGGTGGAGGTGTGTGTGTGTGCGCGTGTTTGTGTGTCGTGGTTCTAAAAAAAACTGTGGTATGTTTCACTGTCCCCTTTTCATTTCTCGCACACGCGCACGATGCACATCATCACCGTTACAGTCCGTCCGATTGCCTCTCGAAGCTGTTTTCTCTTCCTTTTTTTTTTTACATATAAAAAATATATATAAATAATGTATAGATCACTAAAAAAAAGTAACTGTGTACATGTTTTAGATATATCCACTATGATTACAGACCTGTGTTCTTTGCAAAATGCTGCTTAAAAAGCAACAGCGGACAGACTTTTTTTTTTTTTGGTATCTAGACAAATCAACCTATTGTAGATTGTAATGTTTTATAATATGCACCCAGTCAATAAACCCACAGTTTCTATTCAATCCCATAATAGTATTTTTGTATTGTCTCGCGTTTGTCTTTTGTACAAAAAGAAGTAGTGGCAATGTTGTTGTTTTTCCGCAAAATGTACTTTGCTCTTCTACATGTGCTTTTAAATAAAAAGCTCATTATGAACACACGTGTATGTGTGTGTGTGTGTGTGTTGGGTGCGGGGTGGTGTTGGTCATTTCTATTATGAACTACTTGACAGGGTAAAGTGGTGAGTCTCACCGTGGGATGAGTACCACAGGTACACAAGCTCCCTCTAGTGGTACTTGAAAGTATCACTGAATTAAATGTTCTGTGCCTCAGATACAATGGCTGGAGCTTAGTTGTTTTTCAACTTGAATGCATTTGCGTCGAATCATTTTGAATTTTTTGATTTTACAAAACGAAAATGTACATATTTATGTGCAAGAAATGTTTAGTGAATCATTATTTGAACACAATTATAGATTTTCTTAATCTGAAGCACAGGGCTCTATTTTTGTGACAGGTGCAAGTCTGGCACGAAGCAGTGTCCAACTCTGCACAGGGGCAGGCTTGACTTTGCTTTGGTATTTTCACAGCTGCAGTTCGGTGCAGTTCAAAACGGACATTTCGTTTCTATGAGGGTGTGAACGCAGCCGACTCCTCTCATTCCCTTCAGAATCGATGTGGCAGAGGCACAAAGTGTTTGACATGATGGAAGAAGAAACTGATTTTCTTGAAGTCCATGCATGCAAAGTATGCATTCATACCTGATTGGCTGATATGAATAATGATTTTTTTTTTAACTAACCGTTATTTATCCAGGTTAGTCACATATTCAGATCCTCAGGTGAACAGATTGTCATTTGGAATGCCAATTTGGCGACAGACAACAGAGAAAAAATTAGCCAACTTGGCTAGTCCAATTAAAAATATGTAAAAGCTGGCACTTTAATTTGTTGGCCCCACAAATAAGAAATGGTCCCAAGAAAATATGCAACTAAGATGAAAAACATTCAAGAAGAAAAAAAAGTAAATCAATGGGGCGGGAAAAAAAGCAAAGCAAACCACTTCACGGTTTGTGACTGTGACCAAAACCAACAGTGTCATTTTGTCCACCGCAGAGCAAAAAAAAAAAAAAAAAAAAGATGGACTGGCATGCTTTCTTACCACAATTCATCAAGTAAGCGCATCGATAGCAAACGTTTCGATATTTTCTCCACCTTGTTGATGGTCAAGTTTGACGAGATCATGTTTTCCCCTTCAGCGCGGCCTTTCATCGACGGCGACGCTACAGCTGCTTTGAGGTCAGCTTGAAAGCGCAGAGTCAGAACCAGAGCGCTGCCTGTTGAACAGCTGGCGGGCCTGACTGGACTCAGCCATGCGTGGCTGTAATAGCTCAGGCCCCGCGCCAAGCCAGTGAGAGGCCCGTGTTGTGGTCGTGTTTTTTGGCAGGAACCGAGCGGGCGCCCAGCTAACCCGCTCAGGCCCCAATTGGACCTCTCAGCACTCTCAGCGCATCGTGTGTGTGTGTGTGTGTGTGTGTGTGTGTGTGTGTGTGTGTGTGTGTGTGTGTGTGTGTGGCCTGCGTTTGCATTTATTTACAATGCTAACGATGCTAGTTAGCATTATGTTGGACAGACGCTTGATTGGGAAACAGTAGCTTTGAATAAATTTGTAAATAACGAGAGCATGGGATCCAATTAGGGATTTAGACCAGGGGTTAGGCTTCAAATTCAGATTTTCAACTCGGTTTGGGGTTTTGAATTTGGGTTTTGAATGGGGTTAGTTATTTTCATGAGTGTTTTAAACTCGAGGTAGCATTTAAAAACGAGGGTTTTAAACTCGGATTAGAAACTAAAAACAAATGCGTCCAATTATTGTGGGACCTTCATTATTTATTTATTGATTTATTTTTGCCGTCCAGCCCAAACAAAAAATGCTACGTCCCAAAAACCGGACTTTGCATTGCGCCATTGTGTTTGTCTGACCTTCCTCAAGGTCAAAGACAAGCCTTTTTAGGGCGGTGGCATTGTCGCCTCTTCTGCCGAGTGAGCATTTCGGCCATTTCCGACACATCCAAGAAAAAGTAAAAAGTGTGACTCTTTTGCCACGCAAACAAATAAAAAGATAACGAGAGTGACAGCAGACAATAGACAGGCACGAAGAGGAGGAAGAAGAAGAGGAGGGGGGGGTCACAGCAGGAAGCCGAGCTGTGCGCCTCCTCATCATTCTCTCTCCTCTTTGTCGCCCACCGTCCTGCTCCTCCTCCTCCTCCTTCTCCCTGCTCACGATCGTCGCCATACTCCTCTTCTCCTCCGCCATAAACGAGCCTTTGGCTTTCATCTCTCGACAATCGAGCGCTTTACCTGTTAACCCTCTGACCTCCGAGCACATGAGCTCCTGCATCCTGACCCCTTGAACTCTAACCCGACCAGTGTCCTGTCATTCATCAACCCCCCTTACTCCCCCTCAACAACCGCTGCCCATTTGCTCCCTTCCCCCTCCATCCAGCCAAATAAGATTATATTAGCATTTAATTAACACACCTCCGGTCGATTATTATTATTTTGAGAAGACTTAGTATCGGGCAATCTGAAAACGAGGCGGATCAATCAATCAGGCCCTCGGAAATAAATAATTGAATACAATGCAACTAATTGCACAAATTGTATCTCTTGACTTCATGCTTTAACTCAATTAACTGTTCTGCTCCTTCTGTGTGCATGCCTTATTTCTGTTTAGGAATAGGGAAACATTAGTTCCTGAAAACCAGTCCAGGGACTGGCATGCTTTCTTACCACAATTCATCAAGTAAGCGCATCGATAGCAAACGTTTCGATATTTTCTCCACCTTGTTGATGGTCAAGTTTGACGAGATCATGTTTTCCCCTTCAGCGCGGCCTTTCATCGACGGCGACGCTACAGCTGCTTTGAGGTCAGCTTGAAAGCGCAGAGTCAGAACCAGAGCGCTGCCTGTTGAACAGCTGGCGGGCCTGACTGGACTCAGCCATGCGTGGCTGTAATAGCTCAGGCCCCGCGCCAAGCCAGTGAGAGGCCCGTGTTGTGGTCGTGTTTTTTGGCAGGAACCTAGCGGGCGGCCAGCTAACCCGCTCAGGAC